ATCGCGCAAGACGCCTTTTCTGCAATCACACACACACACACACTCACTCACTCACGCACTCACTCAACTCAACTCACTCACTCACTCACTCACTCACTCACTCACTCACTCACTCACTCACTCACTCAACTCAACTCACTCACTCACTCACTCACTCACTCACTCACTCACTCACTCACTCATATGCACACTCACACACACTCACACACACACACACACTCACTCACTCACGCACTCACTCAATCGCCACATCCACCACCATCACCACCAACTAGGGTGCGCTGGCTGCGAGTCGGCACGGCGTTCGTGTTGGCCGCGATATTCTGGCGGCACAACTCGCATTCTCAGCGCTCATCGCAGAACACATACACGCAGACACCGCTCTCACACGGCAGCAGAAGCAGGTCTGTCCACAGGGGTGTTGTTTGGTTGGTTGCTGTGTATCTGTTTATATGCGCATGTGTGCATGCGTGCATGTGTGTGGTTGTGGTGGCTTCGGTTGTCGGTAACCCCTCCCCTCCGACACACTCCATACGCGCGTGTGCACACCTCGTCTCCATCCCCAACAACAGGAGCTGCTAGCTGTGCTCGGGCAGCAGCTGCAAACGCCGGCATTCCTCATCGCCGCCGTTGGGGACAATCCAGAATTCTTCGCCCCGATGATGGAGAGCGTGACGGTGCGCACACGCATGCACTCACTCATGTCGTGGTCGTCGTGGTAGCGGTGGTGATCATGAGCTCAGCGCACGTGCGAGTACGTGTGTGTGTGTGTGTGTGTGTGTGTGTGTGTGTGTGTGTGTGTGTGTCGCTGGCTGGCTGCTGTTTGCATGGCCCTGATCGCCTTCCCCCATCTCACGTCTCCGCCATCGCCACCACCACCACCGCCGTCAGTCGTGCGTACGGGACCTGGACCGCTCTGGTGAAGACACCACATCTGTCTCTGACGCCGTCAAAGCACTGGCAGCCATGTCCACATTCACACAGGTGCGCGGGTACATGGCAGTGTAACCGTACAGCTGCGGGCATGTGCGCACGTGTGTGTGTGTGTGTGTGTGTGTGTGTGTGTGTGTGTGTGTGTGTGTGTGTGTGTGTGTGTGTGTGTGTGTGTGTGTGTGTGTGTGTGTGTGTGCGTCGCTTGCTTCCTCCACCCCACCCAAACACACGCGCACGCACACTCACATGCGCACTGTGCCCCGCCTCCATCATCACCACCATCACCATCACCATCACCAGGAGTCGCTTGACTTGCTGCGGGAGTATGCGCGCGACGTGGATGCGTATCTCACCGCCCTCTCCCCGCAACCGAACAGCAGCAGCAGTCGATGTGATCGCGCCACACGCACGACGGATGGCACGACAACATCAAGCAGTGATGATGGTGGTGGTGATGGCAGCAGGATGGCGAGTGACGATGGCATCAAGGGTGGTGATGATGCATGGCGTGAGCGGCTGACACTGCCGGTCGGTGACCTCATCATGAAGACGATTACAGACAGCGAATCAATGCCAAGAATGTGTACATGTGTGTTTGAATGATTGAGAGGTGTTCGCACTCATTCATGTCTCGACTCTCGTGACACCACCACCACTGCCACCACCACCACGACTCACAACGTCTTTGCCACACCATCATCACCACCATCAGGGCGGTGACGCAGGCGCTGGTGCTTGACGTGCAGCGGCGGCCGTCCACATACAAGAGCGACTTTGCTCGCCTCTACATCAGGTGCGTCGGTGTTGTGTGTGTGTGTGTGTGTGTGTGTGTGTGTGTGTGTGTGTGTGTGTGTGTGTGTGTGTGTGTGTGTGTGTGTTTGTTTGTTTGTGTCTGCCTGTGTTTGTGTCTGTCTGTGTGCGTGTGTGCGTCTGTCTGTCTGTCTGTCTGTCTGTCTGTGTGACACTGGCTCACTCTGTCGTTCTCACTCCCACTCACACCCCCCCCCCCTTGCGCTCTCGCCTTTGCTGCATCATACACCACCGTCGACCATCACCAGGGCGCTGTCTGTGCTTCCTCCGGTTCCCGAGATGCAGTCGCCACCGCCAGCGCGCGTGTGTGCGGCCGTGCGTGCACGTGTCGATATGCTCCTCCTACAACACTCCAGTTTGCACCAAGTCGGACAAGGTAGGGTGCATGTGTGTATATGCTTTTGTTTGTGTATGTATGCTTTTGTGTGTAAATGCTTTTGTGTATGTGTGGGTGTGTGCGTATGTTTCAGTCTTTGTCTGGGATCGGTCATTGGTCCATACGCACACGCACACACACAAACACACACACACACACACACACACACACACACACAAACACACACACACACACACACACACAAACACCAACGACCGCTCCAACACCATCACATGTCTCATTGCCCCCCCCCCCTCTCCCCGCCTTCCAATCATTCCGTGTCGTCCAGCGTGTGATCTGCTGCTTCGCTGCTGCATGTGGGACGATGCGTACGCCCTCCTCCAGACACACCGCGATGACGTGAGTGATTCGCATGTGTTCGTGTGTGTGTGTGTGTGTGTGTGTGTGTGTGTGTGTGTGTGTGTGTGTGTGTGTGTGTGTGTGTGTGTGTGTTTGTTTGTTTGTGTCTGCCTGTGTTTGTGTCTCTCTGTGTGCGTGTGTGCGACTGTCTGTCTGTCTGTCGGTCTGCCTGCGAGACACTGGCTCACTCTGGCGTTCTCACTCCTACTCACACCCCCCCCCCCCCGGTGGCGTGATTTGGTGGTGATAAAACACCCTACGACAAACAACAAAGCGGCGCTGTTGTTCCTCCCCTTCCTAAAAAAAAAACCCCCCCCCCCAGAGAGGGTGTGTTCAGCCGAGCGTGCACTCGTGAAAATCTCCCCCCACAACACCCC